AAGCACTGTCTGACGCGTCTGCCTCCGCCACCCGAAAGGAGAAGCGGCGATGGAAGATGAAGATGAAGATAAAACCCCTTTCTTGACAAAGGATGGGATCTACCGAAAAAGGAGCCAACGAACTATAGCAGATAGCAAACCCGTTTATTCATACATTTTTCCGCAACTCGCTTGTCCTCTATTTCAAAGCCAAGAAAAGAATCAACCTGAAAATACTCAGCTAAAGAAAATGAAGACGGAAACGTGAATATCTGAATTCAGGAAATACTGCTGAAATATGCCTAGTGACTAGTGACAAAGAGTGCTTCACACCGCCAGCAGCTGGCAGCGTGCCAGCTCAGCGATTACTGTCGAAGACAAACAAGAAAAGGACGGGAAAAAAACAGTCAAAACTCAGCAGCTGCTACCCGCTCTGAATGGATGAGGCAAACAGAGCGGTGACCCTACAGCAAATGAGATAAGGTTCCACAAGAATCACACGAACAACAGTCAGGAATTGGAACATCTACTCATTAAGAAGAAAAGAGCAGAACCTAGTTGATTAGGAGGCAAAGTGCTGACTAGATATAGCTTGACTGTTGTAAACGAAGCATAACTGCTCTGAAAATCTGAACTTCTGCTGGTGAACACTTTTTGATTCAGGTGTCGACTCAATGACCCGTACTCGTGCTGGTAGTGGTGTTTTATTAGAACCAAACATGCCTGACAGATTCACTGAAGGGAATTGATACAGATCTATGAATCCAATTTGGCGGTAAAATATGGGTTAATCTAGGTGGAAATAGAAGGAGCTCTGTAAGAAGTGCCGCCTACGGAAGCCATCGTTCTCACAGACAATTTTATGCGCATGTCGAAGGTGACACTGAGAAGTGCCAAGACGCGATTAGAAAGAACAGCAGTAGCATCAGCAATAACTACTTGAAGCTGCTGCGTTGTCATGCAAACAATGCACCATCACTTATGAACACCTTCTTCGAGCATCGAAGCGTGCATGATTATACCTGGTCAGGGAAGCTTGTGCACAGAAGTCGACGATCGATTTGATAATCGTATCGTTTCAATTACAACACTGTGCAATAGACGTTCGCATTAAGAGAGGCGCAGAGCTATCAACCGATCATCACCTTGTTGTTGGTACGCTGCCCTGTAAGAAATGAAGTACCATGCAATGATATGGCTACAGAAACGGCCAGAGAAACAAATGAGAAACATTATCCTTGGCGGATAAGAGAGCGAAACTTGCAAACAACATCGCACGATGGTTTGAACATGTAATAATAATGAAGGCTGCGGTAGAAACCGAGCGGAAGCTTTTAAGTGGTGCCTTACTCTGCGTGGCTACTGAATCCTACGGGTTAATCGGTTTGGCCTGCCGTTTAATGGTCAGAAATGATTTTCCTGGTGAATAGGATAGGTTTAATTGACCGTCGGAGAGAAGAAGGGTTATACTGAAGAAATGGCTTGGAAGTAAAGTACCTTCAACTCGAATGCGGTAGGAAGAAACAGAGAGGGCGACAGCGAATGCAGTGGCCAAATAGAAGCTGATTCCTGAAATAAGCTTGGTGATGGACCAGATGTGAATTTACAGAAGATCACAAAGCTATATTGGCAGACTTTCCGATGATATAGAGATGGAAAGAAAGACAGTCTGAGGATCCCGACTGACAAATCCGGACGTCTTTTTCCAAGGAAAAGAATCAACTTCGGCGATAGCAAGGGTACTTTGCGGAATTCGTTGGACCTGAGTAATCGCAGAAAGACTCGCCTTAAGAAAACCATTAACGAATATTAATCTTTCAGCAGAAGAGGTACTAGAAATGGTAAACGGCTTGAACAATACCAAGCCAGCCTGAATCGATGAAACCCCCGAGGAGGTGTTCAAAGCTTTAGACGAACAAGGCAAGTTGGCCTAACACCTGCCTCTGAAACTGCAACGAGTACTGGAAAGACACACGTGGCGGTGTCCCTGTTCAAGAAGGGAGACCACAGAAACTCTTCCAAATATCGGGTCATTACATTATTGACCTTCCCGGGAAAAGTCTGCGTAAACGTTTTAGAAAAGAGCTGCGCAAATAACTCACTTTACGATAGAAAAGTAGTGTGGCTTCAAACCACGTTGAAATACTTCTGATAGAACCTTTGCCTAATGCAAAATGATTAGAAATCGTGGCAATTCGCTCATACGGTTTATAGATATTTTGGAGAAAGCCTCTGACCAGAAAACACGCAACGATCTATGAGTATATCTGCGAATACATGGGATTCATGGCCAGTTATTACGAGCCATCCAATCACTGTATTCTGATAGCAGGTGATGCGTCAGAGTAAATGGCATTAAGTCGAAGCCAATCAACGTTAGCACTGGTCTCCGCCAAGGCTGCAGACCGTCCCTCTCCCATCTGTATCGTACATGGATAGAATAGTCAGGAGCAGCCAAGGTGATGAGTGTATCGATGTAGAAGATATGAAGAGGAAAAGGTTGCTATTTGCAGACAGCCTTATTTTATTCGCATCTTCTGAAACTGAACTAAAGCGCTCTCTGAAAAGGTTCGCAGACGAATGTGACGTCACGAACATGCGGGTGAACGTGTCAAAAACGAAATGCATTGTGCTTTCTCGGTCACCTGCGCTATGAGCTCTACAGATAAAGAGAGAAGCAGTCGAACAGGTTCACTCATCTAGGAGTCGTGCTTACTGAGGAAGAGATCGTCCGGCGTAGTGGAACGGCCAGCAGCGTTCGGCGTGAACCATGCTGAACCTTTGTGACTAAATCAGAGTTGAGTCTGAATAGTAACCACTATGTGTGCAAGTCGACCTTGATCCTGATTCTTACATACGGTCATGAGTCGTGGGGCATGGCTGCAAAACTCCATGTCAGGTACAAGCGGTATAAATGTGCCTTATGAGTCGAATGTTGCACTGCGCATATCTACGTGTTCCATGGTTCAGATATCCGAGAGGGTCTTGTGCATAGCTGCTACTTCTCCAGATCCAAAAATCGCAAGTGTAATGATTTGGACTCGTGCTGCGAATGTCTCCAGAAAGGAAGGCGACGCGAGTACTACTTGCAAAACCGACCGTCCAGGCTCTGGACTCTGCATCAGGGAGAGGTTATTTTCTGGTGACGCTCAAACGCTGGCACAGGATCAAGAATATTGGAACCAGTGTCAGATACCCCTGTCCTCGCGACCTTAAAGAATTAAGCGGTCATAGAAACTGACTGACTGATTGAAAAAGCCAACGAAATTCCCGTTTAGGTTCTGCAAATTAATCGAAACGATGACGCAGGAATTTTTCATTGGCAGTTTCCGTGACACACCTATGTTGTCACCGTTCCCCGTTGAATTCTCAAAGATTTTATCTTCG